GTATCATATTTGGTTGGGTTGGAAATATCTGTAGTTTGTCAATTTATTGGCGCAGGTGTTGTTTCAAAGAGGAGGGTTGGTCGCAGATCCGGATTGGTTTGCCAGAAATGCTCCTTGTTGCTGCACATGGGTGGTCTGGTTCTTGCTACTGCAGAGTTGTGGAAGGGTTGGTTTGATCTGGTGCGATTAGTTTGTTGGTTAATCTAATATTGTTAGTCAGTTTTTGTTATGTTTGTTCGGTTAAGTTGTAATGTTTTTGTTTCTGGTGGTATCATATTGGCTATGATCCATTTTTATCGATATGTCACACTCCTTTTCTTCTTTTTAGGTCTAAGGAGTTTTTTTTAATGAGACACATATTGATGATTGGTTTTATATGTGTTTCACTTAACAAAAACCATACAAAATATCATTTCAAAAACAAACAAACAAAAATTAATCATCAAGTTATCTTCAACAAATAAAATTACAATAAAATCTCAATTACCAATCTGAAATCGAGTCAATATGCAACAATCTCCTACTTGACATAAATCTCATCATAAAATTGACCTTCCAATCTTTAAAAACATCAATTTTTAAATAAGTCAAATATATATCAAAACATTGACTCAAAATTTTCAATAAATTCTATGTAAGAGTCATTGAAGCACTATTAAATCAATTTAATATTATTGCCCCTATTAATAAAAGTTGTTACAACAAAACTCTTTTTGTATGTCTCTAATATTTATAACAAAAATCACAATATTAAATTCCTTCAAAACTAGATAACTAAAATCATAACTTATGACATCATTTGTTAGAAATTTAGAAACGAAAAGGTTAACAAAAACATACCAACATAGAATAAAGAAACAATAATTCACATTGAATGTAGTTTGATCTTGCCTACCTCATTGAATAAGAGAAACGATAATTCACTATAAACGTAAAAATAAAAAAAAATACATATAACATAAATGATGATGTGATAACTTTAAAAATCCAAACAAATGCGAAAATCTCCTTTCAGATGCATTTGATTTATCATGGAAGTTATACCTCTATTAACAGATCTTTTGCAGTATCACAATTCACATGTAACTTGAATATATATATATGTTGTAAATTATGTTTCTTCTCCATTTTGTACACTTGATTACGTTCCAAGTTGTTGAAGCATGCTTTTGTTTGTTTTTGACTCGCATTGTTTGGTACCTTTGTATATTCCTGATAAATTAGATGAGCAATAAAATCACGGACTTAAAGAGAAGAACAACAACAAAATCATCTTCAATTCAGCTAACTCAGTATATCACAACTTAATTATTTCGCATGTCTAAGGGTTCCTTTGTGTATGTAATTATTTTTATTGTTTCTTAAAGTCATTTGACTCGAGGGTGGCCGGTTAGAAGAGCTGTTTTGTTTAATATGTTCCTCGGTCTGGAAATTGGTTCCCAGTTAGCTCGGTAGTTCCTATGCTGTTCGGAACCTTGCCATTTCCTGTCTTCATTTCAGTTGGCTCGTTGCTTCTTTAGCGTTTCAGATGTATTGAAGTTCGCTGTGTTCCATTCATCAAGTCGCATGTCTGATCTTTCAAGGCCTTCTTTCCACTTTGTTGATTTAGTTTCCCTGAAGGCGCCGTTCTGCACGGCTCAGTGGGGTGGATTACTGCTTTTCCAGTGATAGTTTTTCGGTCAACTCATTAATTGTTGAGGCTGAAGCACGGCTTGTTTTCAGTTTGGATGTGCGTTATTTCATTTGTATTCCTCCTGGGGTAGTCTGTTGCTCTTAGTTTAGCATGTTATGTGCTGCCTTAGCGGCTTAGTATGGTTTCATGTTTTGTTGTACCAGGTTTTTGGTTGTAAATCCTTTTCATCCCAATGATCACTCTTTTTCCTCCATTTAGGTGTAGGGAGGTTTTTAATGAGGTCTTTTGGGTAGTACTTTGTGTTTTTCTTTCAATACAAAGTAACCTCTTTACAAAAAAAAATAAATTATTTTGCATTATTTTTAATTCTTCACCAACGTGAATTGAAATTCTTAAACCTTACAATTTTAGCAACAAAACCTACCTAAAGTCATCATCAATGTATAAATAAAAAAACTCATCACTAATTTCAAATCCAATTGTAACATATTTTAACAAAAATACTTTAAATATTTAAACAAAAAATGATACTTTATGTATTTATTTTTAAATCAAACCATATAAAAATAGCATTTACATTTCTCTTACGAGAGCACGCATTGTTTACACTGATAGCAATTAGATCTATTTGATTATTACTTTCTAGATGCTTGTAATTTTTTATTTAATTCGTATATGTTTTATAATTAAATTTTTTAGGAAAATGTTGTTCTAAACTAAAGAATAAAATAAATTGTGGAGTTTTAGGGTGTCACTTAAGTTAGGTGAAGGTATATCTCCTTCCCATCGTCGTAAACTCATAAAGATGACATCGTGGGTGTTAATACTTTCTTTGATGTAAGTACGGATATATGATTTTATATTAAAGATTGAATTTATAATTTTCTAAAAAAGTAAATTTATAAAATTTAGAATATATAAGTTTAATTTTTTTAAGGAGACGACCATTCTATTAAATTCTTTTCTTTTCCTATCCCTGTTGTCATCAATTCGTGGATGATTGTGGTCAGCACATGACAACGACGACAATCGATTTCTATGGTAAATATATTCTAGGGAATAAGTCTGTACAAACATGTCGAAATATTCAATTATTGTGGATGTATAACGTTGCCTTCTTTTATTTTACAGGAAATGTAAGGTATGTGATATAACAATATTGAATTAGGCATTATAAAATTAACTCTATGCCTTGTTGGTAAAACCATAGTATTGAGGAGCATGAATTTGGTTCATAGTTATTTATCGTAATCTTTAATTTAGAACAACAGATAAAGTTGAAGTGTCTAATTGAACCCAAAAAATTAGATATCAAATTAAACTCTAAAAATAAATTCAAGTATCCTATTAAATCGATAAAATTTAAATATCAAATGATTTTAGTAGTTAAAGGGATCATTGATATCTTTGGAGTTATGAGTTTGAGTACCAATGACTACATGATATTTAAGCTTTTAATGTCAAATAAATGAAAATTTGTAGAACAGATATTACCACTTATAATTACCCTGTATTAAAAAAAGGGCAAATTATACATTCACAAATATTGGCACTTTTGATACGTATGCATAGACTCATTCTCTATAATTTGACCGTCATACCGTATCCTAAAGAAGCATAATAACGCAAATCATGATTCCCTTGTACCAGTTCAGGAACATTAAGAGAGGCAGCCTCCATTGGCTCGGCACATTTGTCAACTTCGGGGCCAATAAGGGAAACATCATAGTTTGCACTCGTGACATCTTTACTCAGTTCTGGAGCTGCTAATTTGAAGTCCTCGATACAATGCCGATAAACCTCCGAGCATGTCTTGAGAGCCTTGATGGTTGTGGGTGGGTTTTCCTTGTTCGTCATTTCTTCGATGAAAGTGAGTGTTTTTTGAGCTCTTGTCGCCCCTTCAGTCATGACGACTTGAACGAGTTGCTTAATGTTCTTGGCCGCTGTAGCTTGGGGACTAGAAAGTGTTTTCAAGCATCCTGCACTGTCCTTAATGGCGGTGCCGCTGCATACTTTGGCCACGATTTGTTGATCAACAGATACAATACGCGAAGAAAAGACGTTGAGGAACAAGAAGAATAGTGTAAAAACGAGGATGAAATGAGTCTGAGGTGTCATATTTTATTTTGTTTTGTTTTGAAAGGGTTATAATGGATGTTTCCAGATTTGGTCTTGGAATAAATGCATCGATTAATTTATATGTTTTTCTTAAGAGTTGATTTCGCTTGACGAGCGACAACCACGCATTTCTCCTCCTATTTTGAGAGTTTATGGCTAAGAATTTGGATATAATATCAAATTTACCGATTTTTAAGTTAATTATTTTTGGAGCTCAATGAAATGATATTTACTATTTACCCATAATTAGTAATGTTATCTATCATTTAAATTTTTGTTAATTTTCATTTTTTTTCGAAATCAACTCTTAAAGATTCTATTGATTATGACAAAGTGATGAAAAACTATAGATTAGGGAGAAAAAAGAAAGGAGCATGAGAGAAATGTTGGAAGCATAGATGGGCACTCCGTAATTTATAACTCGAATTATTATTAATACTAGACAAAATTCGTTAAAACGACGTTACCTCAATATTACAACACTACTATATTAATTGCGATTAATTTACAAACACAACCTCGTTATTCTATGTTTTGCTAAGCTTTACTCAATTCTCTCTAACTTTCTAAGCTTTCACATATTCCATCTCATACATAAACTAAAACTATTAAGGTCTTTTTATAGACAATTTAACCACCTATATATGTTGCATTTTCATATCGTGCTCTACTTCAATTTTGCAATTTAGTTGATAAGCTTTGCATGTGTTGCTGTCAAGTTTTGTTGCTGTCGACTCTTTAATTCATTTTCCATTTGCCACGTTAAGCTTTACGGATATGTCACGTTGCCTTCCATCACATGTTTATTTTCCATGCTTAACTCTTAAGTAATTCATACTTCTGCCAAGTCATCTCCTTCCTCATTAAGTAGTTAATTTACAACCTGCCTTTTTTGACTTTTCAAACTTTGTATACACAATTTTTTTCTTATCAAGTTGAGGAAGAATAGAAATTATTTATTATTTAACATTAAATTTATTTTTAATATAACATTTAATTGGTCAAAAAATTCAATCAATAATCAAAAAAATTTAATAACATTTTAAAATTAAGGACGTAGATTTAAAAAAAAAAAGAGTACTAAAAACAAATATTATAATAATTTAGAGTAAAATAGTAAAGGTGGGAGTTGAGCGTGACGAAAAAGGCGGCGAAGCGTATTGCAAAACGATGTCGTTTAGATTGGAAAGGGCGGGCAGTAGAGGAACTCTTAAATTGCTTTTCAAACAGTCGCTGTCCTCGCTGAGTAATAAAGCCAATGTGAAGAATTGGAGGGAAAAGAAGAGAGGGAAGGATGCCAGTGGCAAAACCAGAATCGTCTGATTCCAGGGTGATTGCTCATGTCGACATGGATTGTTTCTATGTTCAAGGTTTTTTTTACGCGATTTTATTTATTTCATTTATATGTTACTTAGGTTTTCGACCAATTCTGTATTTTCCGTTTCCTTATATTCCGTTCCAATTTCTCGAAATCTTTAAGTTCTGCCGTTACTTATGACTTTATTCATTGCACTCTGTAGTGGAACAAAGAAAGAAACCGCAATTGCGGGGTTTACCGACTGCTGTAGTACAGTACAATGAATGGAAAGGAGGGGCTTTGATTGCAGTCAGCTATGAGGCTCGTAAATTCGGGGTTAAGCGGTAGTTACGATGTCTAATGTATTCATTTTCGGGATTCTCTATTGGTGATCTATGTTTCTTTTTTTTTCTTTTTTTTTTGGCTTTTCTATCTTATGTGTGGTTTTTACTTTTTAGTTCAATGCGTGGTGCTGAAGCCAAGGAGGTTTGCCCCGAAATTCAATTGGTTCAAGTGCCTGTAAACCGTGGTAAAGCTGATTTGAATGGATACCGGAATGCGGGTTCTGAGGTACTTGAGATTTGACAACATTAATACTGTTTCAAGTGTATATTGTTAGTAACTCATTAGAAGACAATCTTATTGCTGAACTTTTAACAAAATTTGCAGGTGGTATCTATTCTTTCAAGGAGTGGCAGATGTGAAAGGGCTTCCATCGATGAAGTCTATCTTGATCTTACTGATGCAGCTGAAACCATGCTAGCTGAAAATCCTCCCCAAAGCTTGGAAACAATAGATGAAGAAGCTCTTAAGTCACATATTCTAGGGCTAAATTATGAGGTTTGTAGCCATGCTTTGGATCTTATGGTGTAAGATTCAATAATGCTTGAAATGGAGTTAATTGTGAGTGAATTAGTAGTATAGCATCTCTGTTGATAGACAGATGCCAAAATATGTGATCTTAGCTTTCGTGCAAAGTTCTTGGAACTTGGAAGCCTCTATCGCTATTTTGACAACAAAATCAGTAGACTTATATCCTGCCTTTGATTTTTCTCTCTACTTGGGATCATCTTGTACATTTTTGCAGCAGTAAGATTTTGCATATAGGATGTTATACTGTGTATGCAACAATGCAGGATGGGAGTGACGTTAAAGAAAATGTTAGGAAGTGGATAAATAGGCACAACACTGATCACCGTGATAAATTACTAGCTTGTGGGATCCTCATTGTTGCTGAACTCAGGATGCAGGTTTTTAAGGAGACAGAATTCACTTGTTCTGCTGGCATTGCTCATAATAAGGTAGCTAGAAAGTTTTTTTCTCTCTCTGTACTCTTTCAGCATGTACTTTACGGTTTTGTATAAAACTAGCTTTTACCAACCTCTGTCATCATCCTAACAGTGACTTTATTACCAGATGTTGGCAAAACTTGCTAGCGGTATGAATAAACCTGCACAACAAACTGTTGTGCCTTCCGCATCTGTAAATGGACTGCTCAATACATTGCCAATAAGGAAAATGTACGTTTTTAAAATTTCTGGATTTATTTGAAATGCTAAGTGAGAATTAGTTACATGCCTTGAGGAATGATAGTTAAACATCATCAGCAGAGCAGCATATGCCTTCTCAGCTTCTCTCCTAACATGTGGCACATTACTTTGACTAAAAAACTTTCTTTTCAGGAAACATCTTGGAGGCAAGCTGGGGATTTCCTTACAAAATGACATGGGTGTGAACACTGTTGGAGATCTATTGCAGTTTCCAGAGGAGAAGCTACAAGAACGTTATGGCATAAATACTGGGTCAAGACCTTCTATTAACAGTGCTTTTGCACATGTCTTATATTACTCTGATCATCATTGCAGCTTCTCCTCTTATAATATAAAACTTATGCCACATAAAATCAAGGACTGTTATCTATCACTTTCCAAATTTATTTTTATATGTTGACCTCTTGTTTTAATCTTTATATGGTAAAGATCCACCAGAAGAAAAGACCTTTTCTAGATGTGTTTTAACATTTTCTGATTCATTGAACAATTCTCTAAGTATGGTTCCTGAATACATATGTTTTGTTTGGGATCTAGTACTTGGCTGTGGAACATTGCAAGAGGAATCAGTGGAGAAGAAGTTGAGGGACGCCTTCTCCCCAAAAGCCATGGTTCTGGAAAGACATTTCCTGGCCCTCGGGCATTAAAGACGGTTCCTGCTGTAAGAGTTTTGTCTTAATAAAAAAAGCTCTACGATCTTTTCATGTCATGAAGTCATTGTGTTAATTTCCTGTGTGATCATCTTAGCATGTAGATTTTGTGCAAAATAAAGAGCATATTTTGTGACCTTAATCCCCAAGTGTTTGAAGTTATAAACGACGATACAGATTGCAACATAATACAGTGCTCTCTAATTATGCAATGCCTGCACTAGATTGTGGCATAGGATAATGGTGCCCACCAAAAATGCTAAAGTTGTTGAAAATATTCCAAATGTCATAAAGGTTGTTAGGAAATGATAGTTTTAGATCTATTGTGCAATGACCATAGCTTTATCAACATCAATGCCTGTGCTGACTTGATGCTAAGTTGGTTCTTTATTGAGTCATGATCGATGTTTAGAGGGATGTTTGAAAGGGGTGACTAAGGGAAAGTTTTGCAGCAAAAAAGGTGCTGAAGTTGGAGCAATAGTTTTTCTCTACTATGAACTTGTGGAAAGACAAATGATCATCATAGTTGGTGGAAAATGAAATTGCTTTGCTGCTTTGATTTCTCAATTTGCTTAGCATCCGCATTTGTCATCTAGCTCTTATATCAATTGTTTACTTGCTTCCATCATGTTGTCTTCCCTTGAGGCATTTTTGGGACATTTAGCAACTCTGTCACTGAAGTTCATTTTCTTTTGTAACTTGCCTCTTTATATCTTTGTACTAGGTGCAACACTGGCTTAATCAGCTTTGTGAAGAACTTAGTGAAAGAATTTGTTCTGACCTTGACCAAAACAAAAGGATGGCACACACTTTAACTCTGCATGCTAGAGCATACAAGGTATATCATTTATCTTTTATTCTGCAATTTTATGTGCCTGTGGCAGCTTCTTTCTATTAATCAATCCAGATTATTCTATAGGATGTGCTAACTCCAGCATTCTATTTTTGCTGATTACGAGTATTTCAACAGTCCAGTGACTCAGATTCTCAGAAAAAGTTTCCCTCAAAATCTTGTCCACTAAGGTATGGAACTGCCAAGATCCAGGAAGATGCCTTCAACCTATTTCAAGCTGGATTACGTGAATATGTTGGATTTTATGGTGTTAAGACTCAAGGAAATCATCATAGTGGTTGGGGAATAACATCTCTTTCTGTTTCAGCCAGTAAAATTGTTCCCATACCATCTGTAAGTTCTAGTGTACATTGTTTGCAGTAAATGATGACCTTGAGATGGTTTTTGGACTACCAAACTTTTTGTATTATATGTTAACTTCAAATATTTTTGACAGGGAACATGTTCAATTGCTAAGTATTTTCATGGCCAATCCACATCCCACTTCTCTTCAATGCAACCGTTGGATAACTTTAATGCTGAAGCAACGGTTTCACTACCTCCAGGTCTTCTTGCTTTTGTGATCATTTTCTGACCTTGTTTATGATTGTAATGCATTTTCACCATCAGAATGGGGCTAGGTGTTTATTCAGGTAGTGAATGCTACCCAGAGGTGAATTCACCCAAAGCAGAAGTTGATTTTCCTAAGGAAGAAAGCTGGATTGCGGATACAGTGCCTGATTTGGATCTTCAAGAACAGAAAGTAAATTTCTTGAAAGATGAAGTTCTTACTGTTTAGTTTTTGCTGATTCTTTTCTGACTTGCAGTTCTAAGATAACTAGGTTATCAAAAGAATGAGAACACAAAGTTTCTCTTTAAGGTTTCACTGCTAATTTTGAATTGTTTTTAAAATTTTGCAATTTGACAAGTGCTTTGGTTTTGCAATTTAGAATATGTGATGCAAGGAACATAGATCTCTATACTATTGTTATTTTTTCTTCATTGTAGAAAGCAAGGAACATAGATCTCTATAATTCGTAAGCCGCTTGATAAGAGTATAATATATGTTGTGTGAGAATTACCAACCTGTTTACGATACACACTAAACACACTATCTTATCTTCTTATTGTTATGTATATGGTTGTAAACATATCAGATTATAAATTTATTCTGTCTGCAGGATCTACCTTGCTCTCTATCAAAGATGCAAGATGGGTTCACCCAGGATATTTCACCATCCTTACTCTCAGGTGATAACTTCTGGTACTTGCTGTTTCTATTTGCTTTGTAGCTGCCCTTCCTAGTTCTGATTTTGTAATTGTGTTTATCGTGGAACTGAAGGGTGCTTGAAACAGAACCAGATTAAACAGCAAAGAGATATAACTAAGGATGAAGGTCGATTTAGGTCGGAATACAAGGGTCGAAAAGGAAAAAGATTGAAAGACAAGGTTCAAACTATGAATTTTCATTTATCTCTTACTGTGCTAGTGCTAATTAATGTTCTATACTGCTATCTTGAGAATACTTCTCATGATCTGTTTTGCTTTGATGGAGAATATCGAAGTTGTTATTTGACAGCTTTTCAGTTTCAAATTAATCATTGATGTATAATAATTAAGTTGGAAGCTGCTGGGGAGGTTCTAAGCTCAGCTGTTGGTTGTGAAGCTAGAGTTGAATAAGAAAAGTGAAAAAGAAGTGTGTAACTTTTAATATATATTTTTTTTTGAAGAATCGTGATGCAGATGGTTATACACTAGGGTTGCTCATGTGGAATTATGTCTAGGTTAAATGTAAGAAGTAATTTCCCCAGGGTATTAAAATAATAACCATGCATTTCATTATTAGTTCTGCCTGCCCATTTTTGCCATGTGCTTGTTCATTCTGACATTCCGGAATGTCTTAGCTTCATGTTTCCACTTGACAGGGAACAGCCTCAATTTTAGAACTTTTTAAGAGCTATAATCCCAACCCATTCGACTCCTCTTTGTCCCAAGAGTTCAAGAAAACTGCTGAAGGCAGTGATACCCGACTAACCATCGGTAAATCTCGAGACTCCGCTTTCATGGTTTATATAATTACCAATATATGGTTCTCTGAATGTTTAAACTTGGGTGCAGGTTTTGAGCCAAAAGGCCATAGCCTTGCTGTGGGAAAGGAGAAGCCAATGAATAGTAGTGGTAGCAGTTACAGTAGAGATGAGGGTGATGGAAGAAGAGAAGCATGGAGTTACAAAATTGATGAAATTGATCAGTCGGTGGTCGATGAATTGCCACCGGAGATCCAAGATGAGATTAAAGCATGGGTGCATCCCCATAAGTGGCGGCCTAATAATACGGTCGAGCGAGGTTGTAAAATCTCTCATTATTTTTCACCCACCAAAAAGTCATAATTAAGAAAACAATGATAATATGTTAGGAGAAGGTTAGTATTTATACGCAACCTTATGAATCTTCTACCTGCAAGTATATATTTAAGAAGTTTCATGAGCCAAATTTGAATCATATCTAGTATCTAGCAAGACCTAATGCTAGCTTGTTGGAGGTGTGGAACTGCATGGTTTTTTTTCATGTATACAGTTGGGGTTAGGCAGAACACGATTATGTTTGGAATAGCAGAAAAATTTTGAATTTTAAGATAATTAAATTGATCTTTTAAAATAAACTTGAATAAATAATTTGAACTTTTGAGTTGTAATCGATATTAAGTTTTTATAAATTGAATAATAAAAAAATCAAGTAATAAATTGATGCGAGTTTACTCCTTCAATCTTTTAATTTTAAAAAAAGTTGTTTTCTAAGAAAAACCTAAAATAATATTTAAATTATAAAAATATTAAAAAACCGTGTAAAAGAATGTAATAATTAAGCTCAATTTTATAGAAAAAGAAAATCCAATCAAAGGAGTCTCGGGTTGAAGTAAAAAAAATACGAGTATTAAAGGTTAAGTAATAGTAACGGCATTGGTTGTTTTAGTAATTTTCAGCAAAAAAAAATAGAATAAGACAAGTGAGGAGGCCAAAGAAAAGTGAAGAAAAAGGGAAGGGGAGATTTTGAAAAATATTTGACCCATTTTAATCTGCTAAGGCTAAAATCAGCCACACTGTATCCTTTCTCCTCCGTTGACTCCTTACTCTGCTACCGTTGACCTTTATCAACTTTTTTTATTTTTTTTGCCTTCTTAGATGTTTTTACCAAAATATCACCTTTACACACAATAGTTACTTGTCAGACACCTTTTTCAAATATTACCGATATAGCACCTTTTATTAAACGATGGCAATAAAGATCCGCGCCTTCGCGAGTTTTATCCGAGGTGGCGCCACGTTAGGGGAAGGCACAGATCACCATCCGTGTCTTCGCGGGGTTCTGACACGTGATCCGCGTCTTCCATTATACACGTTGAATTATTGGTACTCCATTATTACCCGAGGCTGAAAACTCAGCTTTTAAACGCTCCCTCTCCCCTATAAATAACAGTCCCTCTGAATGCAAACATCATCACACCAAAATTACTTGTTTATTCTCACTTCTATCAATTCTTTATATCAAGTTAAATAGATTTTTTTATTGTTTTTATAAGGTAAAATTATTTTTGATTATATTGTATTTATTTTATATTTAATTATTTGAACAATTTTTATTGTACTAATTATTTTATATTATTTTTTATGATTGTAAAAGTGGAAAGCAATATCATACCTCGAGACATGTTGCCGATACGGTAATAATATGAAATTGTGTTATTTAAATTATTGTGAAAATTTTTAATTTTTTGGATTAGTTTATATTTTAATTCATATACTATTTATTCAATTAGGTGTATTTCAAATATAAGAATCTCAATCTTTCAAAGTATCAAAATGATGTGTATTTCAGCTATTGTTTACTATGATGGAGAAATTCAGGAAGATGAAACCGACGTCGTCTTTGCATCAAATTATTCTGTCGGAATATCCTTCAAGAGAAACATCACTCTTGAGGAGCTGATCAATAAAATTTCAAGGAATGTTCATGTTGGAAGTGCTAGAAGATTGTCCTCAATTCATTACATATTACAACCGCAGTATTTCCGTTAACTTATACATCGTTCAAACTCTCCAACGATGATGATGTTGCTATGATAGTTGCTTCTCAGAATCAATATTCAGATGTCGATACACATATGTATGCGATATTTTTTTGAAGTGACTGTCGTTCGTGGTATGTCATTATGCTCCAACTATGAGCTGGCTTAATAAGCTGATCAAGTTGACAGCCAAACTCAAGTAATGTGTAATGATTTTAACTCGTTAATGGGAAATCCACATCATGGTGTCATCCCATCAAGTTCAATGGGGAGACATTCATCAGCAACTTCTTACGATATGTACCGAGGTGGCTCCACAAACAATCCGTATGACAACATCGCTTCCAGTTCAAGGGGAAGGCATTCATTTGCCAATTTTTTTGACCTAAATATGGAGATGCCCTTAACGCAACAATCTGTGCAGTACCCATTTGACACGACACTTTCAAGTTCCAAGGGGAGGAATTCAACTGTGAGCTTCTTCAACCTCAATGTCGAGATACCTTCAAGCTCAAGGGGAAGGCATTAAACTACCAGCTTATTCGACCTAAATGTCGACATCGTGGAGGAACCCTCATCTCTACCAGAAGAACCTCTTCGTAATCCAGGTGCGGATAGTGCTGAGACTGAACTATTCATCCAGCTAGAATCACTACAGTTCAACATGAACTCCGATGATGATGTAGATGAATTTTCCAGAAATATGATACACACCGAACCTCCATCATACATGTATGAAGATGACTATGGTGCAATGTATGGGCCAAAATTTACGGATATGCCTAATGTTGGTGACTACAAATTTAACTCATCAGTCAATGATGGTGAGTTATATAAAGGAATGAAGTCTCCATCCAAAGAAAAAGCAATGATGACAATTAAGAATTACTACATTCGTAATTCTGTTTAGTCTAGAGTCGACCATTCCACCACCAAAAAGTATGTCTGCCACTGTGTCCAACGTGACAACGGATGCAACTGGATGGTTCGTGTATCGAAGAGGAAGAGGAAAAACAATATATGGGAACTAGCAGTATACAACGGTTCTTACACGTGTTGTGCTAGATGGATCAACCATGATAATTCTAACTTGGACTCCAATATTATTTTCCAAACCATCATGTCCATGGTCAAAGCAAACTCCCATATAGCTATTGCGGTGTTGATTTTAGCTATACAGTCACAATATGGGTACACCATCTCATACAGAAAAGCATGGAAGACAAAGCAGAATGCCATTAAAAAACTTCACGGCGAGTGAGATGCATCTTACAACGAACTACCAAGTTGGTTTAGGGTAGTTCACAGATTGAATCCTGGGACAATTGTCGACTTCGAAACTTACCATGCATACCACAATGATCGAGTGATTCGTAATCAATGCCAATTCTATCGGTTTTTTTGGACTTACCCACAGTGCATTAGTGTTGTGAAATACTGCAAGCCCGTGGTCCAAATTGATAAGACATTCTTTTATGTAAAATACAAGCAAGTTTTACTATTTGTAGTTGTTCAAGATGGTACTCGCAATAATCTTCTAGTTGTTTTTACCCTTGTTTAAGGAGAAGATACAGATTCTTGGGTTTTTTTCCTTAGAAACTTAAGCTTACATGTTGTTACGAAGGAAAAATCTGTCATTTTAGATCGTGAAGCTAGGATTAAAGAAGCAATAGAGTCTTTGGGTCCAATGTGGCAATCGCGGTATTGTATCCGACACATTGTTGCTAACTATCATGAACAGTTCAAGAAGAATGATAAGCGCCAATTACATGTGTGCATGGGTATGTAAAAATGCCTAAGTTTATTTCTCAATCATTTTTATTTTTTTATGGAAACTTAATAGTAAGTTTTATATTTGACGCTCAGGTTACAAACTATTACCTAAAACATTTGAGTCCATGCTTCAAGATTTGTGAGGGAAGAATGAGGACAAATGCATATGATGGTGGATATCGATATGGACACATGACGACCAACTTGGTTGAGGCTATCAATTCGACCTTAAAGGGGGCACTCCATTTACCAGTAACGATTTTGCTTAAAACAACGTATTTTCATTTGGGAGCACTTTTTGCCAAGCTCGGGGGGCAAGCTTAAACTTGGGCGCAAAACGGTCATGTCTATCACCAAAGATTAGTTATAGATCTACAAAAAAGAATTGCTATATCAAATAGAATATTTGTAACAATCTTCTTTAGAACCCATGAATTACTTCTTGTCACAAAGATGTCACGACCTCTTCAAGGGATTCAAGCTAACTCGTTCAGAGTTAATCTACGAGACAGGTGGTGTGACTATGGGTTTTTTTCAAGCTTTAAAGTATCCATGCTCTCATGTCATAGCAGCTTGATCTCATACCCGTCAAGACTATGATCATTTTGTGGATCTTGTGTATCGGCTTTCAGAAGTATTTAAGGTATATGAATTTGAGTTCCCCAATAGGTAATGAAAAAGACTCTGATGAGGTTCAGAATTGACTTCTAATTATACCAGATCCATCCTTATTAAGGGAGCCCGACCGTCTAAAACCCACTCAAATTCATTGTGATATGGATATTCGAGAGACGTCCAGAGAAAACAAAAGATGTGGGCATTGTAGAACCTAGGACACAATAGGAAAAAATGTTCATCTCTTTTGTCATCAAGTAACCGTTGATACTGTGATGATGTAATAGTTGTTTATGAAATATAAGTTTGTGTTATTTAATTTTCATTTACTTTCAATTAATGTCATTTGAGCATCACCTAGTAATGGGCTACTCAAGTGAAAATTAAATAAAAACCTTACAAACTAAATACAAGAAAACGATACAATTCAAACAATAAGAACAACTAAATAGAAACATTAAATGCAGACGATATAATTAAAACAATTAAATAATAAAAACATTAACAAATAAAATAAATAAAAAGTTCATAATTAAATAAAAACTTTACAATTACTGCTAAAAAAAATTAAATAAAAATATTAACAAATAAAATAAATAAAAAATATATATAATTAAATAAAAACTTTACAATTACTGGTAAACAAACAAAATTAAATAAAAACATTACAAACTAAACAACTCTATCGTTGCATGCGTCTTGAATGTGTTCTGCAGGGCGGTAGATGTCTGTGTCGATAAGGATTTCTTCGTATAACTTGTTCTTCCTCCTCACTCTCATCATTATAATCATCACGAGTAGCTACATTTTGTTGACGAGGGATGGATGACGATGTAGTACCTCCATAGAATAAGGACCCTGGAGGTGTATGGCTGACTATCCCACCACTCATAGAAAATTGTGAAATCTACAAAAATACCGATATCAATGAGTGCGAAAACTGCGCTGGAGGTGTCTGTGTATATGGTCCACCTTCACCCGCCAAATAAGCAGCATATGAACTCCATACTAGATCTACAAGCATAGAAGTATAATATCCTCCATGAGGGGTCATAAAACCCTATGACGGTGGCATCTGACTCGGCTATGGTGG